TATCCATGGGAATAATGTATCACTTCAAAATGAATTCTCGCAGCGTTTAGTAATTAAAGCTGACAAGGGTGCAATTGCCAATACAGAGCAGGTATCATGTCTTACAACTGTACAATGTTGCTTGCATATCCACCACGACGATAAAGAGAAGACGAATTTTGACTGAATAAGTGAAGAAGTAAAGCCAAAAAACTCATGGTAAGACCCTTGTAAACTCCTTTTAATACGGCAACAGTAGTGACATGTATCTAAACATTATTTGTACTTCAAAGATTGACTGTTTACTCAGAAATAACACTTGGGAGTGGTGATAACAAAGCTGTGTCATTGCTAACTGAAGCTCGCGCGATGCTTGAGCGCACCATGGTGTCAAAACGCTTGGCTTGACGTAATTTGAGCAAAAGTGAGCCTCCGTGTTTATTTCTTGTTGGAGTTGCCGCCGTGGTCTGAAGATATATGTGAAGTGCGTCTAATTTGTCGTCTAATGAATTCAGTGGCTGCGACCTTAAGCCACCATTCTGCTCTCTCTTACGTTCGAGTATTTGTGTGCAAATGATATTGTGCAGACTTTGAGCTTCTTCACGTTCTTGTTGCCAGATTGGCTTTTGCGGCTGAAATGGAGATCTTGTTAAAGGTCGTGAATTTGGACTGGAAAAAGGTTCAGATGCTTTCACACTTCGTTTCTCTTGTTTGCACGATTCCACCCGAACGCAATACTTTTGAGCATGTTCAAGTTGAATCCATTTTCCAAGAGGAAAGACACAGAGCATGGAGATTTTAAGATACTTCAATGGACTAAAAGTATGTGCAAAAGTCGCAGCATCGAGTTCGGAGGCAAACAAAGCGTGAACAGCTACAATTGGCTCAACGTGCTGGGAGTTTACAACTTCGGCTTGCCAAAGCACAACACTCGCAACTGCGAAAGCATTCCGAGCTGAGTGAGAAGTCTGACGACAAGACGAATAGTTGGCCGAATGATTCACACTTGGTACAGGGCTTTCAAGTTTATAAGTACTTCCGGGTATGACGACTTCAGCTTCGTGATCATGGACACATGTGAGGGGCAAAATGACTAGCTCTTGAAACGAAGCAAATTGCACAGCTGACTCCGAAGATGAAGATTGCAGCGATTTTTCATTCGTCAGATTTGCTAGCGGTTTTTTGCTTCGATTATTATGAGTTCCAGTTCCACTGAGTCGTAGATAGAAATTTTCTTCATCCAGCTTAGATCGGCTTGCTTTTGGCATCAACGAAAACGTATTGATTGGTAATACGAAGTACTTGCAATTGGGCAGCTGGAAATTCTCTCGTATTTGCTTAGCAACCTCGTCTAACGAGCTCATAGTCCATAGAACCGGAAGAATTTGAAAAGAGGGAAACTTGATGCCCGTTTCTTTATCTTCGTCTCGAATGGCAAAGACCACGTAGATCTTATCATCAAAACTCTTGCTTGGCTCTGTTTCACCTTCCGACTTCAAAACTTCTTTACTCACCTCGGTGACCATTGATTGTTGTGGTTTTACTGTCTGCGTGTTACCATCTTGTGTCGTCCGCTTTGTCGGACGAGAAAATATAAAGTTTTCTTGCACGAGATGATTCAATGCTTGAGAAGTAAGAGTCAGGCTTTTGCAGGATGGTCGCACCACCGAAGGAGGTTGAGGCAAATGAGGCATTATTGAATGCTCTCGTCTGTCTAGCAATTTAGTCGTATCCTTCACGCTTTCAAATTCAATTGATTTAGGGCATTTGTCGACAACATTGATGTCAAATGACGCGATCGGATTGCCTTCTTTTAAAATCTGATTTCGCCAGTGCTCTTCAGCTACTAAAGCACTGTGCAGATGGTGTTGTCGTGCAGAACTGGGAGGCACGTCTGCATTGAATGATTTGACATAGTGATTGAGTGTTTGGTAAGAACGAAAAGGGTTCTTCAATTCTGGATTCAATAATAATAAATCGTTTGCAGGGATAAGTGCTTGCCTTTGTACTGGCAGCATCTTCATGTTACTGGAAATTGTTGATTCAACCCTTTTCTGCTGAAAAGCGGGTTTAGCTTTTTCAAAGCTTGTTTGAACCAAGTTAGACTGACCAAGATGTAACAAGTTTGATACTTTTTCAGAGCATGGACTTCGTGTATGTGCTGTTGCAGACGGCAAAATTTTTTCAATTCGTTCATGATTGATATGATTGTGAAGGACTTTATGTTTATACGTCTCCCATTTTTGTGTTTTATGTAAACGATCCAAGTACACAATCGTCTCTGCGTGAGAGTGCGCTGCAGCTCGTAATCTTTCTCGAGCTGACAAAGACAAGCGGTGAAAAACATCATGCTTTGAAAGGAACAAAAGCTCGACGGGAGTACTGGCAGTGACAGTCACCTCTCGGGATATAACCTCATTAAAGGTCAATCCTGCAGCTCTATAACAACAAAATCATAAGTAACGTAGAAGACCATCACATCACCTCTAGCTACGTACGCGTCATCACCGACAACTCGAAAGCGACCAATCCGCTCAACAAAAACCTCGTGCTTTACTTGTGTGCATATATCAAAGATTTCTTTCGTCACGATGACCTCTCCACGAACAACAAAGTAGACATGTGAGGCTCGATCCCCCTGACGGTAAAGCACACTTCCTGTCGTCAGCTTCTGCTCTACTAGTACGTATGATAATTCTTTAAGTAGCTCATCTGTCCATTCTGGCATCTGGAACATAGAAATTTGATTCAAAACGCCAATACGTCTCACCATATCTTTTTTCTGCATCCGACGTAACGTTGTATTATAATCGCGCTCACATATGACCAAAAGCTGACATTTTTCACGAGTTATCACAGTAGCACTGCGCACACCTTTGCCTTTCATAAGTGCCAGCTCTCCAAAGTGAGACCCTTCAGTTAGATTGATAAGCTTTGTCATTTGTAAATTTCCTTTAAAATCTTTCGAGTTAACATTCACATCAACAGAACCGCTGAAAATAATGTAAAAGAGGTCTCCAACTTCGCCCTCACGAAACACACAGGTACCAGCGGGTAAACCAAGAAATTCAACGACTTCACAAAGTTCGCGAATGAACGATTTGGACAATGTCCGAAAGAACTTTAGAGTTTGAAGATACTCACTGAGCATGTCAATTTCACTCTTAGTTCGTGCGCCTTTTGGCTTGGCAAGTACTTTGATGTATTCTCGTTGCGTCCGTTGCGCTGGACGCTGAACTCCAATACCTTTGGCGAGTTGCATTCTTGATAGAAACTCGAGCTGGTCGTTCTTGAGCATCAGATTATAGTCATTTCGTGTAATTCGAACGAGCTCTGTCGCAGTCTTGGACAAGACAGTAGCTGCGCGAACATCGTTATTTAAAAGCGAGCGTTCACCAAAAAATTCTCCTTTTCCTAGCTCGCACACAGTTACTTCAACTACTTCACCAAGGAAGCGCTGGCTCACACGAACTTCCACAATGCCAGTAAAAACAATAAAGAGTGCGTCTCCTTCGTCACCTTGACAAAAAATAGTTTCGGCAGGAGAATATGTGACGCATGTCATTCGTCGACAGAGCAGTTCAAGCTCAGATGGTTTTAGATGCTCAAAATCAGTCACGATTTGAAGCTTTGTGGCCTGGAACCACCTTCCAAGATCTTGAATATCTTCTTCTGTGCGCTGTTCGCTGTCAAGAGCAAGAGCACGACGACAAGCCTCTTCCAGAATGAGTTCACGTCCATATAACGGTGATTTCGCTGTCGTATCGATCCTTATATCGGAGTCTAATTGGACATCTTGACCAAAATCCTCGTCTTCAATACTGTCTTCTTCTTGCTGCTTCCGTAGTGTCGTCAATGTAACCCAATCGGCCAGCACACTAGATTGTTTCTTTAGAATAGCTGGAGTCTCGGAAAGTTGTTGTGTTGAAACGAATTTTTTTAAGACTCTACTTTTGAGCATATGTGCAAGCGATACGCGAGGTTTCGGAGCACTTTTTGTGATGCTTTCATTGGATCTCTGTCCTACGTCTAAAGTGTTCTTTACTGCAGTATTTGAATCTCTTAATCCGCTTTGTAATCCATTCATAGCCAAAATCGAGTGTGCTGCTCGACTGAAGCCCTTAAGCTTTCTGTTGTTATTGACGATAGAATCAGAATTCAAAGTTTCTGACCTACTTTCTGGTCTCGTAGCTTTAACACTTGCAGATGCTCTCGAAGTACTGATACTAGTATTTACCATTACAATAGGCATGTTATTGCGCTCATCATTTCCAGTCGGCCTTGTTGGAGCGTGTACCGACATAATTTAATGTCATCTCTTCTAATTATGGCTACATGATTATGAATGTTTTGTACATCATCTACCACTATATGTCTCTCTTCTTTTCATCCAATTAAAACCATCAATCTCGAATGACGCTCTCCCACGTCGCGTCGGAGGCTCCAGCATCTTCACCGCTCAATGTACCATGTTTACAAACCTTGAATCCCCCTCCAGACCAAAGAAAAAAACATGCACATCTGCAACAGACATCTGTAGATCCCATTACGACAGATACACTCGTCAATGTTCCCAAATCACGCACAAGCCACCGAGCCGCAGCTGTAGCTGCTACTGCTGTCATTGCTGCACAAGCTCTTGAGGAGGATCCCCCACCTAACGTTTGTATATCTAAACCAATGCGTCGTCAACCTGTTAATGAGAATGTTAAGATACAAGGAAACCGTACGATGGAGATGTTGTTATATGCGGCATCGGAGGAGTCATACACGAAAAAAAGAGGAATAGAGGGCACAACGCCCGTATCAAAACGTACTAAAGTCATAATACGTAATCGAGTATCACAAAAGAGACCACGGACAAGTCGAAGAGGCAAGAAACGTCGTCAGACTATAGTTGAGGAAACTGCTGCGATTGAAGCATCGCCTCTTATCACAGATCTTCCACCGCTACCATTTACAACCACAAAGTCGATAAATCAAGACAAGAAGAAATTAAAAGGAAAACGAGCGGTTGCTATGAAGCACCAAGATGAAGAATCTACACGTCAATGTGAGTTTTGCAAATCAAGCGCCAATATCTGTGTTTTAATGCATTGCCTCGCCTGTCGTCGCGTGTACCATGCTGGCTGCTTTGTCCAGGCTTTCAAGCCTTATGTGGATAATTCTACGCCTCTATTAGATCAAATTACAAGCTTACAACTTCAAGCGCCCGATCATCGAGGTCAATTGTTTCGATGTGCTTCGTGTAAAGCGGCATTTCTGGATTTTTATGAAAGTGGTGGATACATGTGGGATTGTGACTGTCCGACGTGTTTGCAACCGGAAAAGACACGATTGTTTCGTCAGCGCAAATTAGTGCAAATGATGAATGACTTGGAGCTGGAGAAACGACGGAAGAAAGAGAAAAAAGAGCATCAAAAGAATGCTGCTGCTAGGACAGATGACAAACCAGCGCTAGTTTTGACGTCGAGTACATCAAATTCAAAGGCTCGAAACCGACGGACACACGACAATTGCACTACAACTGATACTTTAAAGGTAATTGATGGTGCTGTGAAGGTTGAGAGTAAGGATGTGGTAATTAAAGCATCAACAAGAAAACGACATGGAGTGAAAGTTGGTACTGATGTGCTTGAGAATGGTGACGGACTTGGCGAATCTGCAAATATGGCTCTAAGTCAGCAACAAAAGACGGAAAAATTACAATCCGAGAGTGAGGTGCTGCAAAGTAAAGCTATGGATGGGCTTACAATTCCAGAAAACGAGCTTGTGAGCTCAGTTCGACTTCATTACGATGAAAAGACTGCCAGTTGGAGCTTTCCTATCATGTGTTCACGAATGGCTAGTCTTCAGGCGGCTGGGTTTATAAAGACTGGCAAGTGCATTTGGTATGTAAAACAACCGGCAAGTATTCAATGTAATTGCTGTGACAGAAGGTTTGAATTTTCGGAGTTTGTACACCACACGGACACCTCGTTAGCTCAAGATACAAACAAGGACGAAGAAGCATTTCTATTTGTCGAACATCGCGATGATGCAAAACATACGCCATTAAAGCAATTTCTACGAGCTCTAAAAAAATATGTGGGAATGAAAGATGCAATGAACATTAAGGAAAGCTCAGGACAACAAGCAATAACTGTTCTTTTGGACGCAAAGTTAGAGGCTGAAACAGCTGTCACTCGTCTCCAAGCACTTGCTCTTTTTAAGTGTTTAAAACATAAAGCTTTATCAGCTGTCGCCGCTTTTGAGTTTGCGGCACGTGTCGTCTGTCTGTCACCAAAGTATGTTATGAGTATGGCAAATGGCAGTCTCGTGGACCTTGTGGTACGGTCGAAAACTTCGGAACCGGGTGACTCGTTCCCACGGAAAGCTGGGTGGTTAAGCTTTAGTCGACAAGCGATCAAGGCTCAAACAATTTTGTGTGAATGTTGCGACAGAAGCTTTAGCTTGAACGATCTTGTCACCCACGCGGGCATTGTACTGACTGAATGGAAGAAGAAACCTCGACATTTTTTGTATGTGGTAGAGCGTCAGGATGAATCGACTTTGATGCCGTTCACAACGTTTGTGCAGACTTTGGACACTGCACATGCTAATAATGTATTGGATTCACTCTTACGAAAAGTGCCACCTTTGTCATTGTAAGTCATCGCTTTGGGAAGATTACTGCAATTGTAATCATGTGTTCATTGCTAAAAATTGTGTTTAATAAACAATGCGATATTTTCTTATACGTATCATCGTCATCCTTGTATCACTATCTATTCAAACAGTAGTAATTCAAAGACATCAAATTTGACCTTCGTGAGACGACTCAAGGTCTGTCATATCTATCGACGAGGAGCAATCGTCATGGGTTTGCCATCCTTTGCGTTGACATTTGCCAGGCCCATGTCGTTTAGAAACTTTTCCATGCGTGCCGACTCTTTTGCCTACCGGACGATATATGTTAAATAACAAATCGCATATTCATCACCTCTTCACCTTCTTACCTGCAGATCCGAAATTTTCGTTTGTTGTTGCTCTAGCTTCCGTCTACGCACCAAATTGCGGCGATCCAAGAGACGTTTAAGCTCCTCATTACTGCTAGTTTGCCCACCCATTAAAAAATCTTCATTTACGTCTAAACCGTCCCGAGCAGCTTCACGATCTCTTGCAGCACCATGGAGCTTGTCTGCAATTTGGCGCCTCTTTTCAATTTGTGCTTCTCTTCCAGTTGCTTTGACCGCAAATTCATCTAGTTCAACATCGCGGTGCTCTCGATCCTTTTTGCGATTCATTTTGTGCCAATTTCGTTTCTTTTCCCAATCGTTAATTTCGTGTGCTTGATCTCGTCGACTTTTTCCATGTCTCTCTTCCTCTTGTTTAAATTCTTTCTTTTCATCTTTAACAAGTAGCAATTGCTTCTGTTTTGTAGCCACATCCACAGAGTCCTTTGCTGTTGCGAGCTCAAATCTCTCCTTATCTCCAAGGTTTGACACAAAATTCCATTGGTGGCGTGTTCGCTTCGTTTGTTCCACTACACCATCGGGTAATCCTTCGTAAAATAATTTCGACAGCTTCCCACGATTCCACTTTCTCGCAAACTCATTCACAAAAAGATCCATAGCTTCATAAGTCGACAAATCTTCTACATATTTGTTCCTTGATCACCAAGATATGAACAAACAAGTTGTAAGCTTTTATTATTGTTATTCCAACGTAGATACGCACTTCTTTTGAGCCAGCCATACCCGAAATTCTCGTTGGCGCAGGAAATAGTCGTCTTCTGTAATCTTTTGTGCTCCCCTTGGTAACTTCAAGTCATGCGATTTGTGACTTTTGTGCCGAGACGAGCGGTCCTTATGACTGTGTCTGGACTTACGGCTAGAGCTCTTCATGACCTGAAAATGAAGTTTATGAAATTTCGAATTGAATTTTGTTGTGATGAAAAAAAGTTATACTATATTTCAAACAGGAATGAAAATTTAAGACAGCTTTTTACACATAGGACAAGAAAACCGAATGTGACTTCATTTTCGCGGACGATCTACTTATGTCTGCATTGACTGTGGAATCCGTTGAAAAATTTGAACTTGGCAAGCCTGGCAACAAAAATTTGGGAGAAGTAAGCACATCCTTCGGGTTATATATTGAATGGTGTAATATAAGCTACGTGCAAGCTATGAGGTCACAATCGACGCAGAGCATGGCTTGAGCTCGAAAAAAGATATGCGATACCTCAGATGCAACAATAAAAAATTATATGACATTTCGCTGCCCGTTACGGCGACGAATAGATAAGTCTTGATGAAAACATCTTTATCATTGATAGGCGACTTACAATAGATTTCTTAATGCACTCCTTTGAATAACTACAAGAAGCCACAAAGAAGACGTGCAAACCAAGTTTGATCAACTATACAAGTTCACAAGGGGTCAAACGTATTCAAAGATTGTCGTAGTAAGAAAATCAGGTTACATCGAAATCATACAGTTAAAATGCCTGGGGTGATGCCGAATTCAATGGTCAACAATGCCGACCGAAAAATTGCGATATGTGAAATAATCACCATGTGATGGACAACGGTAATGTAATTTTGCAAGATGCAAACCGGCGTGGTGCTTAGAATAATGGAGGCGAAGCTCGTGGCAGAATCCAATGTGGGAAGTGAGCATTTAGGACAGTAGTAGCTTTTCAAACAAGCTTGGTTTGAAGGTCCAGAAGCCTATGTTGTAAAACATAGACAGCCAAGCGGATATTGCTTAAGGCATGTTGAAGCGATGTAAATCACGTTAGCGTAAATACTGATTTAATTGAACATATCGAAGCGCATCATATCAGACCAAGTGCAATAAGCTGCCGCGCATATTGTGCTAAGAAAGTCTTGAATCATCGATATCGCGGTAATTGACGGCAGAAGATGGGTTATCACGTGCCACACAGGTGCGTTATCTCTCGTACCAAAAGCTTTAAGATTTCAAATTTAAAACTTCGTCTGGCTTAAATGAACACAGTATATATTTTACAATGAAATGGTCTAGCAGCCGATATGTTACGCGGACTCTACCTTAAAGAGTACCATCATACTCAGCATGACCGAGAACTAATCATGATACTTGATCATGGCACTTGGTTCTTCTGTGCGTTGTTAAATGCTTGAGAGGCAATAGTGTGATGTGTACGTAAATAAGAGTATGGTGAACATTCCGCTAAACCCTCTTTCGCCATAAAGAATGCCTCGATGGGGTCACAATTAATGTAGCACACGACAAAGCCGCAAATATAGTTAAAGTTCATCGAGCACTCACTGCGCCGGGATTTCTTCTGCATCCTGCACGACCTGATGCTAGCTCGTTAAGACAAATACTCGCATCGATAATCCTTTTTCTTTTATACCCACGAGACTGGCTTTCGCCACCCGCTTCAAAAGACAGAGACACATCGGTCTCGTCGCCAGTAAAAATTTCCAAGTAAATAATAACATTCTGTATAACACAACAGTTTTGTGAAAAAGCGGTGCAAACTTGCTACTGAACACTTCGATGAAGCGGCATCATACTTCGAGAAATCGTCGCTCTCATTGACGGGATGGCAGTCGATCCTCTTCCCTAAGGGGTCACAGTGACCATCATTATGGAAAGCCTCCGAACTGGTGTGGCCAAACCGAAAGTTTTCCGTGTGCACTTGTCTTCTCTTGAATAAGCAGTGACAGTGGCATTAAATGACAGCGTGACTTGGTTGGAATACACACTCTAGCAGCTCGTCGAGCGGACCTGAGCTGACGGATCTTTGCTATGCTGAGGACGAGGAGGCAGAGTTCCGAGCTGCTGAGCAGCGTTCGAACACTCGACGATGTTATGTCTGTGAAGCTACCTGTCACCTTCGGATTGGTTGTCCCATGCGCAAGGCGCGTCAATGTTCATCGAACCGACGTTTCGCTTCTTACCAGTCTTTTGGTTAGTCGCGGGAAACGACAACATACAGTAGACACGTGGCGGCCTACTAGGGATGAACTTAGTTCTGTTGAGCCTCAAGGAGATAATGGTCAGCAGGACCGAACACCAAAGAGCTCCGGGCTCTTGAACACGAAACGTGCATGCAAGTCGAGCTTGCTGGTCGTAAAAACAACCGTGAAGGGTTTTGAGAGGTCATGAAAGATCCTGATCGATTTCGGGGCTTCGGGCAAGCACGCTCGAAGCTCCACAACAACAAAAAAGTTAACTGTATGCTGAGGCGCGGAAGGCGCGGTTGAGTGATATTGTCATTGTTCGCTTCGCGACGTGGACATATGCCACGGTCCCGAAGGTTTCTGTGGACCTCGGTGTCAAGTTTCTTGCCTTTGGCTGCTTAGTCTTAAACTTAAATTCAAGGTATGATCCCATCCTTTATATGGCATGGCGCTTGCAGGCTTAACGTGAAGTAGCACATTACCTATTGAGCGCTGCTCAAGTATCGGAGCAGTCGTTGCATGCCATGCGTAGCATAGTCGCATGAGGTCTGAGACATCGAGAGCGAGTCTTCAGTGATGCACGCGGAGTGGCACGTACTCCACTTAGCACTGCTCAAGTTTTGATGTAGTCGCTGCTCACCACGAGTGCGATGGTTGGACGATATCCGAGGCATCTTGGGCAAGGCGCATGGAGTGGCACGTTATCCACTGGACGAAGAGTTCGGAGCTAGCTCTGCTGTGGACGAGAGCGCACAGCTATACACCCTCGTCAACGGTATTACGGGGGAGGAAGACGACGACGTCGCCATCGAGGCTTTATCTGCGGTGGATGCTCATCTAGAGCTCCTTCGAAGAATCTGGCGATGCCTTGAAGGCAGGCGGCTTAGCCGTGTCATTATAAGAACGAAAGAGAAAATCAACTCGTCGTCGCTTTTGGATGAATCTGTCCTGGAGGACGCCAAAACGGTGGTGAGGGCACGAAGTGCATCTTCGATCCTGAAGAATCCCTCGGATCCGTACTATCCTTTGGTAAAGGAATTTCAAGACGTCATCTCAAGGAGCAGTGTGACGTATTAGCGCCTTCTTTCGTGCGAAGCACGACGCAGGAATGGTGCGTGAGAGAAATATTCCCCATTCGGTACCCACATTCTGTGTCCGAATACCGAACGGCAAGTGGCGTATCGCTCACGCTTACAATACGCTCAAAGCTGACACCATGTCGGCGAAGGATGTTCTTCAAAATAATACGGTCGGATGTACAAAGTACAGCGCACTTAACTTGGTCGATGGGTATTACCAATTGCTCATGCGAGCGAGTGATATATCTATTTAACACCGGCGAGTAATCTAAGCAAATTGCTCTGGGAGTGACTGGTGATGCCCCAAGGGCTGTCAAATGTACCAGCAACATTTAATCGTCCAATGACGCAGTTGTTCAGGCTGCACCGGGCGTATGCTCAGACATACTTCGACGATATCTATCTCCACAGTCGTGCGGAGCACAGGAAGACGGGTGAACAGAATCACATCGTCCATTTGAGAGCGATGCTCGTGTGCATGCGCACGAATAAGCTGTATGCTAATGCAGACAAGTGCATCTTCGACGCTGAAGAAATACCCTCTATAGGGTGCTTGATCGGGAAGCGTGGTCTTCGATCGAATTCTGCTAAGGTCAAGACCATCGTAAACTGGCCGGTTCCAAAGAAGCATAAGGACTTGCGCAAGTGGCATGGCCTCACCAACTTTTTGCACAAGTATGGCTAGGATTATGCGGAAATGGTACGGCTATTGTCGAATCTCCTGAGGAAGGTTGGGAATGGTGTTGAGACACCGAGCAGCGGGAGGCTTTTGACAGGGTCATACAGCCTCCTTTATGCACCAATACTGGCGCTGCCAGAAACCTATCGTCCTTTTAGTGTCGTCTGTGACACTACTGGCTTTGACATCGGCTACACACTGCTACAAGCAGGCGCCGAGGGGTGTGATCGGGAGATCGCGTTCGAAATTCGCCAGTTTAAGGCTGCGGAAAAGAACGACCTAGTCCACGACAGGAAATTTTTTGCGATGAAGTATGCAGTTGTCATGAACAGGGCTCGCCTGCTCGGCTCCAAGATGTTCGTAATCTACACAGATCATGCGTCACAGCACACTGCGACTCAGTCGCCTCACCTCTCAGTGTGAATGGCCAGGTGTTCGCAGAATATAGCTTCGATGTGAAGTATATATCAGTAAGCTGATTGCTTTGGCCGATGCGTGACAGCGCAAAACAAATTATGAGCTTGATCATGTCACGACGGTGACGTCGCCAGTGACGGATTTTATCCGCGCCGCATACACCGGTGATGGTATGTGTGTAGCGTTGCTACAAGCTCTCGGAAGCAATGAGTTTAGAGACTCGGACAAGAAATTGTCGGCGCGATTGCGCGCACGGTTACACCGATATTCGTTGAATAACGAATTGCTGTATTATAGCACCGACTCGACGGATACGCCACGAATTGTGGTTCCTCACGATGAGAATGTGAAGTACCATATCCTCTATGAGGCCCAGGACACCCCACTTACTGGTTAGCTCAGTCGTGAGAAGACCTACAGCTCTACGAGTTGTCAATACTGGGGGCTCAAGCCGTATAAATGGACGAGCACATATGTGCGCACGTGTAAGACGAGTCAAAGGGTAAAACTATCTCCGAATGCGGCGGCGCCGCTGGCCAGATTGCCGGTACCCTCCGAATGTTGGCAGTCCACGAGTATGGACTTTGTGTTTGGCCTGCCGAAGGACTCGGCGGGCAACACGGGTGTTGTGGTCTTCGTCGACCGTTTGAACAAGATGGGTCAATCTTGCAGCGGTGCTGGACATTATCGACGGTGTCGGTACAGCGACGCTGTTTATGAACTGAGTCTTTCGACTGCTTGGACTTCCGGAGTCAAATGTCTCTGACAGAGACTGGGATATTTTGATTGACGATCTTTAAGGTGCTGGGCACCACTTGACCAAGATGGTGGTCCACGCGCGCATTTACCTCTTTGTAGCCCAACTGTCACTTGTACAGCGGGACAGTTGCCGGTGCCGCTGGACCCATTGCTCAAAGAGTTCTTTGTCATCTGCAGCTGTTTTGCCAGGGGCGAGCACCACAGGAATTATCTGCATTCTGGGTACTGGAGCGCCTCCTCTTTCAGCACAAAGTCGAGTGCGGTACGTATCAACCGGGAATTCTTGAGGAATCAAGAAGCGAGCTTGGAGAAATTTTCGTTCGTCAAGCTCAGCTTATGGAGTGGCCGGGGTCCGATCACGTAGACGCCCAACGATCGAGTGATTGCGTGCTCCACTTCTGTGGCGGGATCCGCCGAGCGGAAGCCGT